TGCAAAGAAAGTTCCGAATAGCCGGCAATGCCCATGTCTTGGATCTTGAACCCCACACCGACCCTACATCCGAAAAAAACCTGTGTTGGCTTGCTGACCGTAGCAACCGTACACCGCAAGGGCAAGATGCTCTACCGAATCTGTCGCCGTGGTTGACGAGGCCACGAGTGGGCTTTGGCTACAAGAGCATGAGAGTTCTACGCTTTCGGGTGGTCAGGTTGCACGACTTGTAGCTGTAGCAGTGTGGGCTTGCTCACTTCGCGGATCGTGATTCACCTGTTGGTTTTTCTCAACATTTGCTGCTGTAGATGGTCTCCGTTGTTGTCATGTTTGCCTTGTAATTAGATATGAGATAGGATTGTGCTCCTAGTGCAGCGGTTTCGGTGATGGGACTTGGTTGGGCTTCAGGAGTTCAGCTGTGCAGTTACGGACTCCAGATTTTGTTTGGGGGGAGATAGAGGTAGAACTTTTGAGCGGGTGAGGGCACGAGGCTTGCATAGACGGAGATTGAGGTAGAACGGTTTTGAATTTCAGAAGGCAATGACTATGGTTGCAGTCCGCTTCTGCGCATACTCTCCCAGAAGTTTTATCCAACGTTGGAGGCAGCTTGCATAAGCTCAAATGGAACGGATAAGCCTTGCGTATCATTTGCGATGCAGCACGAAACCCGGTAACACCATATTCCGAGCCTAAATCCTCAACTACACACCCTACACTTCATGACTCTATGTAAGCCTCATGCCCGGACCCGTTCTACCTGACTTTCCTCAGTTCTGCTGGAGCCAGGCGTTGTCGACGATTCCCACAGGTTGGTGGGCTTCTTGGCACCACTTGTGGGTTCAGGGTTGTGGTTAACTAAGTTTCCCAAGACTTGCCCCGTCCTCTGCCATTTTATACTGAGGTGCATGCGCTGCTTTCGTGCAAAGGGCTGCAAACGGCAAGGCGCGGGGCACAAGCCTGGGGCTGCTTCTTGCGCACCATCGTCTTGCCAGGTGCTGGCTGGTGGGATCCCGCCTTTCCGTGGTCCATTCGCTGACGCGCACCTGCGCTCGCTACCGGGCACCGCAAGGCTGGCTGTGGGCGATTCGGACGCTGTGATCAGCTTGTCAGGCGACGCCTATGATCGCACCGCCTTCTCTACGAGCGGAAGGCGGGGGCCTCAGCGGATCAGTCCGAGTCCCCTTTGCGGTTCTTTTGTTTCTTTTCGAGTCGTTCCACGCGCTTCTGCAGTTTTTTGACAACGCCCCACAGCACCACGCTGAGCTTCTGGTAGTCGAGGGCCATGAGCTCTCTCCCGTCTAGGTTTTTCGTCTTGCACATGGTCGCTCCCAGTTTCCCGCTGGCCTGCACGTCCTGGGCCACGAAGCCTATCTGCTCCTTGCCGCCGTCGATGCGGTCGTACCTTGCGGACGGCTTGACCCTTAAAAGGGTTGCTACCTCCAAAAGCATGCCTTATATAAGGGTCATTTGACCTATAAGGGTCATTTTGGGATATAAGGGTCATTGTAACACGGACGTTTTGTCAAGTCCCGAATATATGTGGCATTCAAAACCACAGCAACATGAGCATAAGACACGCGAGCATGCATCGGCCGAGCCACATGAGCATAAAACAGGTCTGAGACGAAAGTGTTTGCAGGTCTGAGACGAAAGTGTTTGAGCCGAGATGCATCATGAGCATCAAAGGTTTGAGCCGAAAATTTGAGCCAACAACTTTAGGGCTTTAGGGTTTAGGGTTCGCGGGGAATTAGAGGAAACCGGATCACCCTGAAATCCACCGAACACCCTGAACAAACCCCTTCGCGATCGGCTCGACTTTTCACACGACGTGCTGCTTCAAAGACTCCTTCAGCATTACGAGATTTCGCTTCAAGATGTTGACCCCCACAGTCACATGGTTCATTTTCCGATACATCCGGATTCCATATTTGACGAAATCTTCGTCCATCCAGCATGCATCCCAAGCTGGGTTCCTGCAGGAGCCCATGAGGCTCATGTCCTCGATCATATGCATAAGATAGTGGTACTTAGGCCGGACTTTGAATAAGCGTCTCTGTACACGAAACGCAGCACCAGCAAGCGCGATGTAGCCCCGCAGGAAAAGTTGACCAAGGATCGTTGCCTGAGCTTGCTGCTCAGAAGTGAGGAAAACTCCAGAGCTCATCAAGATGTCGCACAGTTTGTCTGCACAAAATGCTACACCAGAAAGACCAGCCCATGGTTCTTCAAGAGGTTGCTCTTGCAGCTTCTGCGACATCCACTGCAAAAAAACTCCACTGTCAGCGGCACCAGACTTAAACTCAGGACACTGCTTTCCCCAGCTCAAAGTTGCTTTGGTCAAGTTTTTTAAAGAAACTTGCTTGCCATTGTCCTTTGCAAAAGTCTTCACATCACGTAATAGCTGCTTCAATCGTAGCTTAATATTGGCCCCAGGAAAATACCGCCTATTGCTAACCATAAGCCTGAGCCCGGCCCCCAGCAGATCGCGGCATACTCCCAGATGCCATGTGTGCATCCAGTCAGTTCTGAGCATGCGAAGCGAGAAACCGTCCACTGCAGCGTAGCTTGGTTCCTCAGTCCATGGTAACCGACCATTCAAATCTGTAGGTCGCCAGCCAGCATTCTCAGAGCAAACCATTGAGAAGTTCTTCCTGCCCATTGATGCTTCGCAGCGAAAGCAAACCTGGACTTCGATTTTACATGATAAAATAGAAGCAGCCCACAGCTAGAGTCGACAGTAAATCTATCCAGCTAGAATATATGGATCATGGTTTATTGAAAACCTTCACCTAGACCAAACAACATAAAACCCCAACGAACCAGGCCCAACCAATCCTAAATCCTAGTTTTGTCGGCTTTGCTATGCGCCCCAGTGCATGTCCACGGTCGCTGCCGCGCCTTCTCGCTGCCCGGCTTTCTCTTCAAGTTGAAAGCTTGCCCCATCTGCTTCAGATCGCCCCTAAAGCCCACGACGTGGAAGTAATAGACCTTGCAAGGTTTTCTCGCATTCCGTAAGTGCTTATCACCACGAAAAAAAGACCTATAGATATGAAAAGCTAACTGGGTCCCTTTTGGTGTGCGTAAAAGGAACCTCGGAGCCCAGAGAAATACCACGAGTGCTGAGCAGCTTCAGGTCATCTACAATGGCTTTGTTCAATGCCTGTAGCGAGACGTTCGTTTTCTCGTGCATCATATAAGATTTCACAGGCAGCGAATACATGATGTATCTGGAAGCTCTTGAATCGGTACGACACTTGGACAAGTCGGGTGTCCTGGTCAGGGTGCATTCGAATAAAAATATGAAATCTCGCTAGATTGTCGGTTCCCGACATTAAGAACTTAAACTAAACCCACCACGGGTCCAGCTGGCAAGCATCCAAGAGCTGCGGTTCAAGGATCCTTCGTCACCCCATATGCAGATAGGGATTGAGTTCTTCCATTTGTCGCGCTCCGAATGCAAAGGATGGTGTTCCAGGTGTTCCAGGGTACGGCTCCAATACAACTCGAGTTCGGCGGCTGTATCGGGTATCATGGTCGATAAGAAGCCAGCTTCTAGCAAAGACTTGGCCTGATAGAATAGAACTGGTTATTCTGTAAGCCGAAAACCTAGAGAGACCTAAGTATTCTTAAGTATGAACTTGAAACAAGTTCTAGATTGGTCCGAAAGCGTATAAAAAAATAATTCATGCAGGGAGCTAGCTGAGATGGCATCAACACAGGAAGTGCTGCAATAGTCTCTTCTTCATCCTCGTCCAGAATAATAGGAGTCGAAATCCAAGAAACATCTGCATGCAGCGACAAGCCAGCACTGCGCACCCTGGAGTGGAATTCCGCTTCACGAAGCGGTCGGCTTGCAAAGCCATCCAGCAGTTGACTGGAGTATGTATCGCCTAGGCAGTCATCGGGGTAGGAGTAGATTTTTTTCACGATGGAGAGTGTACACACGTGTGTGTGTGTGTGTGCGTGTGTCATGTCCTATCACAAAAGATTGTGACTCATTCGGCACATGTCATTCCTTGTGCACAACCCTGCATTCCTAATGATAACTGCTGTCCAGACACCCAAGTCACACGCCAAAGTGATCGTCGAATCTCCAGCGCACGTAGCTCGCACAAGCCTGAATTGAACTCAGGCTCGACATCGGATGCTTTGAGTTGGGTTCCTTTGGCGGCAAACACACGGTTATTGAAGGGCAAGTGACTTCTCATCCAGTTTGGATGCCATGGCATGCAGGGCTGCTGAATGGGATCGAGTGGCACCTGCCGAGAACAACAATTGCACGGGTTTCATAATTTGCATGATCTTCAGCTGCTGCAGTGCACTTTCTGGCGGCTTCTGAGCTTTCCCCAATAGTGACAGAATTATTTTGGCCCCAGCGCTTTGCTTGGTTCGAGATTGCCTGCACAGCAGCTATGAACTACATATGCAAGCGGCAAATTGGCATGTCGAGCATCCCGCACCCTTTTGGCGCACGGCCTCGAAGCCCCTAGCCCCCTGCACTATGGAGACACCTCCACAAAGCCTTGCAAAGGTTCCCCCAGCAAGAGGATCCCCATATGCTTAAGCCGTGCACATATATTTACGAACCTAAGATCCTGCGTAAGGATTGAAGCACATTGAAGCCCCACACTTTCCAATCAACACCCCACTGAAATGTTCATACTTCAGTGCTATCTAGCTAGCTGTGCAAGCGGCACGCATACCAGTACTACGACTCCTGAAAGAACGGAACGAAACGATGTGGCAACCACATCCTCACTGATATCACCGGTGCACCATGAATATGAATTTATTAAAAGAGCCGAGGCTGTAGACTACGCAGGTACATTCGTATAATCATGAGATGCACCAGCAATCCCACGGAAAATCAAATCAGCTGGCAGCCCTCTTGTTGAGCTCCTTGAGCAAGCCTTTGATTTGCCCTTTGCACAAAGACAGCCTTTGAACCTTGGATCTGAAGCAGCCAACAAAGCCAAACTCCACCGAAGACCCGAAGCCCACTAAGACCACAAACAAATTATCGAGGCTTCAATCGCAGCCCAAAACATAATACTCATCGATATCCGAGGCAACTTCTTCGTGGATAGCATCGCACTGCTCGTCCATGCTGGCGGCTTCGGCCTCTGGGTCGATGCTGTGGAACCTCGGGACATTCAATTTCATGCAAAGATATGGGATGGGGATGTTGTGTTCATGGCTGTGGACATGAGCAAGTTTAGATAGGTGGCTTCTTCGCAAGCTGTTCGAGCTTCTTCTTGTGGGTTTTCAGGTCTTTAAGCAGCCTCTGGGAATCATCATCCGAGGCATCCCCCATATCGAAGATCAGATCAGCGATGCTGTTCACATTCTTCTTGATCTCTCTGCCTTGCATCATACAAACGGGACACGACGACGATGACGATGGCAACGACGATGCAAGTGAATCCGAAATTGCAAACTAGCAACACCACTTGCCGTGCTTCTCCTTCGGACTTTTGAACAGCTCATTGACCAACGAGGTACCTTTCACAGTGGTCGCCGTAGAACCTGCAACCGATCCCGGTCGTCGTGTCGAGGCTTTGCATGATGCACCCCTTTTGCCAGAGCCGCGAACACCTGAGTAGGTTCATTATATAGGGGTGTAGGGCCAGGGAACCAAATCTCTCTCTCTCTCTCTCTCTCTCTCTCTCTCTCTCCCTCTCTCTCTCATCATTAAGAATCCTGGGTTTACATTGCAATTGTATATTCGCTTCCGGCCTGCATGCTGCGTGGCAATGGCACTCAGCTCGTCCTTGCGCTGATCGAAAGCCCTCAGGACGTCGGCTTTCAGTGGCGCTTGCTGGCTCGCGGCAGGCTTCTTGTGGAGGAGGCCCGGGTCCGCTCCAGGAATGCCACCGTCAAAGAATTCTGATCCCGGGCGACAGTTCGCTCGCAGGTTCTGCTTCACCCTGAAGGGGATAAGTCATTATGCAAAATTAGCCGCATAACATAGTGTTCAGCATGTAATGCGAGCCCTGCTCCTGAACTCACTGCTTTCCACTTGGGTGCGGCCCACGATGCACCAATACAGGGTATCTTCGAGAGAATCCGGTGCTTGTTCATCACGTTCGCCCACTTGCGTTGCAATTATGTGTTGCACTTTCTGCCTCAGCTTCAGATTGCAACTGAAGAGACATGCATGCAGCGGCACAGCATGGTGAACTGCAACATTCTGAAGATTCTTTAATATAAGTGCCGAATTACTCGCTGAAGAAGTAGGGCTTCTTGTGCATGTTCTTCACGGCTATTTGCATCCAAATCTTCTCGGATCGCACACCTGCTTCCTTGGCAATCTCGATGGTACTTTCGCAGGCCTGCAAGTTCTGCCCCGAGAGCACCCAATCACGTAGCAGCGCCCGCTTCTCCTCAGCATAGCCCCCGATCATCAGAGCAAGTGATTGATTGGCATAAACACAGACATACACACACAGGCAAGCACACACGCACACACAGACACACACACACACACACCTCACCCTGTCACTCTCTCTCTGCACTCTCCCTACATATCTCTCCCCTCAAACCTTTGCTGACCTTGAACTCTAGCCGAAAAAAGGACATTCTCTAAACCTTGAATACCAAGTTAAGTGTAGCTTTAGATTGGGTGTGCGATCCCAGCCATAGGCCGTAGGCTAAACTCTAATTAGACAAAGTATATGTTGCGTAGCCGAGCGGCATCCAGGGTGCCTTCTTGCAACTTGAGCATATTCGGGTAGCCGGCCAATGCTCCAGATTCGTGCAATCGGTTCTTAGCACAAAAAAGCAATCACCATGGATGTGCAGCGAAGACTACATTAGTGGAGGGTTTTTTCAGCAAAGTGGCGAGCTTGGCATATTCTTTTCGGTGTGTTGTAGAGCAGATCTTGCACTTCTCATCACCCTTTGGATCCTGGTCCGGGGCCACCGTTGGCTTCGGAACCGGCTCCGCTTGCGTCTTCACCTTTGCAAGTAGATCCGTGAGGCCTCCGGCCGGGCTTGTCGTCGGCGAATCATGAAACACATGGGTCTTGGGCCTGACAGGTGTAGCCACCGGCCTTTGGGGTTCCTGCGAAGCTTCGGGCTCCTTCACGTTGCTAGGTTTTTCATCGCTGCTAGCTGCGGGCTCCTTCACGTTGCTAGCTTTCGAATCGCTGCTCAGTTGCGACTCCAGCTCGGCCTTCTCCAGTTCTAACTGCTGCACACGCTGCAACAGCATGTGCATGTCAACTGCAGATGCAACTTGGCTTGCCGAAGGCCCGAGCTCGCTCAGATTCGTCTGAGAGTCCTGGCGGTCCTTCGCGGTGATGCGCTGCACTTCTCGCAACCTGGCTTGACCATCCACAAAGGTACTTCCTGACCTGAGATCCGAGTGTTCATGATACACAGGTCAGAACAGCTGCAGTTAACTACACAACACAGCACGAACACTCAGCAGATATTGCAATCAAAGCACACCTGGCTGCCATCTTGACAACCAGCACTTAGCTCTGGAGCGGGCAGTGCCAACACACCCTGAAGCGGCACAGCAGCTGCAGGCTCCGACTTAATCGGAGGGGCTGCTCTGTGGGCCTTTAAGGCAGCCTCCAGCTCACTCACCTGAGGGAGCCCCTGCCTCCATAGATCGTACTCGTAGCACAGCTCATCCCAATCCTTGAAGAGTGCAGAATCCTCATCTTCGTCCAGTTCGGGGTCAGCTTCCTTCAGTTCGGGGTCAGCTTTCTGAAGTTCGGGCTCGGCGCGGTCCACGGGCTCCACGCGAGTCTTAGCTTTCAGTCGCTTGGTTGGCGGCTGATCCATCTCAGGTTCATGCTCCTCCACGAAAGCTGCCAGCCGCTTCATTAGCCTTGGCTTTGGAAGCCTTGGCCCTTGGAGCGACACTGTTCTTGGACTCGGCTGGGGCTGGCTCTTCGGCTTGGGGTTTTCGACTCTTCGTACCAGCTTGCAGGGCTGAAGCATTCGTCTCGGATTTGTCATCGGCTGGGGGCTTGTTCTTGGATTTCTTGTTGGCTCCGGCTGGGGCATCTGGCTCGGTATCCTTTCGGGATTCCTTCTCGGCTTTCTCGGTCTTCTTAGGCTTCTTCGAGGGCTGTTTCAAGGACTGCTGGTGGGCCAAGTAAACAGCATCCGGCTCGGTTTCCTGTTGGGATTCCTCCTCGGCTTTGTGGGTCTTCTTGGGCTTCTTCGAAGGCTGCTTCAAGGACTGCTGGAAAGACAAATAAACAGTAACGGCATCAGCGTAGCTCAGCTTCTCCTTCTTCATTAGATCTTGCAAAGTCATATCCGCCACTCCCAAGGGAGTTGTAAGCGGGATGCTGGGCGGCTTCCACTTGGAGGAGCTCGAAGCATTCTTTGAATCCCGCACTGCTTGCTTGAACTTCAGGCCACGATCAAGGGCCTCTTTGGTAGACTTCATGGTATGGAAGTCACGAAAGCCCTCAATAAAAGCTGATATGGCTTCACCGGCAATGTTCGGTTCTATGGATTTCAGAAAAGCACAGATTCCACGCACTTTACCGGTCAAGTGGTGTGGATATACCGGTCATCGGCACATTTTCCACGCGAAACTTTTGGTTCGGATCGACAGGACCTAGCCTGTCTCAAGCTCTTTTCAATTCCCCCTAGCAACCCAAACAGATGCACAGCGGATAATGTAACTGTAGCGATCATTTCGTGGGGCCTTTGAATGCAGGGTTGTGTGTATTTCACACAAGCAGCCGAACTACAAGCCGGCGATCTAATTAAGGACTCCTGCTGCGAATGGGCCGACACCAGCCGCGACATCCTCGCTGCGGGCAATCATATACCGGGGCTGGTCTGCAAGACATACTGAACATGCTCGCACATATATGCAATCTAGGCACAGCTTCTGAAGGCTTCGTGCGGTCATGGCAGCAAGCATCCTTGCAAAGAAGCCTCGGATCCGGAGCGTGTCGTGGGTGTGCTGTTTTGTGCTTGTTGTGTTTGTTTGTGCTTTTCTGTGCTTGTTGTGCTTATTTGTGCTTTTCTGTGCTTGGTGTGCTTGTTTGTGCTTTTCTGCGCTTTTCTGTGCTTGTCTATGCTATTTGCTAGGTATTTGCTGCGCTTGTTTGCGCTTTTCTGTGCTTGTCTATGTTATTTGCCAGGTGTTTGCTGCACTTGCCAGTGATTCTCGGTGTTTGTTCTGTTTGTGGTGTGTGTGTGTGTTGTTGTTCGTGTCATTACTATATGTGTGTGCCTCTGCGCTGTTCTGTGTTTGTGCTTTACGAGGAGGGGAGAGGAGAGGAGAGGAGAGGAGAGAAAGAGGAAAGGAGAGAGGAAAGGAGAGAGGAGAGAGGAGAGGAGAGAGGAAAGGAGAGAGGAGAGGAAACAGGAGAGGAGAGAGGAGAGGAGAGAGGAGAGGAGAGGAGAGAGGAGAGGAGAGGAGAGAGGAGAGGAGAGGAGAGAGGAGAGGAGAGGAGAGAGGAGAGGAGAGGAGAGAGGCTCAAGAGGGGAGAGGAGAGAGGAGAGGAGAGAGGGGGAGGCTAGGGGAGGGGATCAAAACGGGGAGGAAGGCGAGAAGCGTTCTCGTCGTTTGACCCACAATAGCGGCGAGCAACACAGCCCCAGAGCGGAGCCTAGGAAGGGGAGAGTGGGAGGAAAGCTGTTTGGTGAGTTTTGTGGATCAAAGCCTTCTTGTCATTTAAGCGAGGACCCTAAACGGAGAGGGGAGGGAAGAAAGGCACCGCACCCCGAGCAATATAGCTGCGCAGTCCGACTCAATTTGCAGCCCAGGCACTTCAATCGATCTCGGATATCATCCTGAGCTTGGGCTGATTTAAAGGGTGCGGGTTTATAGTTATCAGGATTTGTGGATCAAGTGCTGCATGACTGCTGGATTAATAGCTCAATCTGTGCAAGCGAAAGCCTAGAGCATCCGAAAGTCGGCTTTTTCCTGCACCGAGCGACTGTCTGTTGTTAGCTGGGGTGTGCATTGTCGTCCTCTGATGCACTACTGCTGCTGCAATACACCGCGGATCCGAGCACCAACGTGGAAGCATCTGAGGCTGTGCGCCGACACGAGCGAGATCTGGGACGTGCTTCTCCACTGGACTGAGTCTTATCCTTGTCCTTATCCCCCAGAATCTCCATAACTCGGCGCTTCATTCGGAGCTGCTCACTAACATCCTCCTCCGCTGGCTCGGTCTTTAGTGCAAGCCGGTCGACTTTCTCGTTGTCCTTGATCTCAGGCTTGTCCGAGGAGGCTGCCGCCGCCGCTTCTGGCTTCTTCTGCGGTCTCTGCTTCGACGACGGCTTCATGCAAGCACAGAGAATGGGGTATCTACAGCTCGGGCACAGCTAGGTAGTCTTGATCCGGGGCATGCCGCGCTTCAATTTTGCTCACAGGTACCCAAGCAAGTGCACCATAATAAAGGCCCAGGCTCCCACTGGCCCCTCAGATTCACGTCCTTGGACCGGAGGAGGTAGTAGCAGCACTCCGACAGTCCGGCCTGGGATGACTATATAGGAAACGGCTCAACATGTGCACAGATCGATGCAACTTTAGTGTATAAGCCTAGGGGCCTCCAGGCTCATCGGGCAGCTCCAGGCACCAACAGACAGCCGTTCTACAAACAGCTCGTAATCCGTTTTGCCAGGATCCACAGCGGCCACACATCGAGGACCTGGTAGCTGAACCTTGGCACACAAAACACGTTTTGGGTGGCTATTGGAGAGCTCTCTTTGCGGCTTCGAAGCGGCAGGATTCATTCTGTAGTGTGAAGTCAGGGCTGTTGCGAACTTGTCCGTGTAGTGCCTAAGTTAGCGGGACATAGAGCTGTCAAAGGTGATTCATGCGTGCTCGCACAACAATTTATATGCGGCCCAGAAACTGCGAAGCTTTAAGCATCTTCGGCAAACCAGTGAAGGTCTTCTTCACTGCCCGCCCACTTCTACTCTTCGAGTGCACTGCAAGTTTCACTGCCTTGACCTTCTTTCTCTCTTCCACACTCAGATACCCGGCTCTAGCCACCAAGGATTCAACGAAGTCCTGCCAGTTCGACAGCAGCATGTGCCTCTTCAGCGAAGGGCCACCAAAGCGAATCATGTAGAAGAAGCCCTTGAAGACCTTGTCCGAGACTATGGGTTTGCTTCCATGCTTCCATACAGAACGTGTCTGGGTCTGTGTTTTAAATTAAGTGTAAACAAGGCCTAGTAGCAGGGACTCTTTCCAGCAGCCATTGAAATACTGGGTGATCCACCAGACATGTCTGTGAAGGCTGTTCCAGAATCCACCGGCCGTTGCGAGCACAAACGACTAGGATAATCATGGCCATGCGTGCCAGTAGAACATTCCCCACATGCACGAAACCGTAGCCCTCGTTGCCCCGGGGAGTAATATGATTTCTCCCGGAGGAGCTTCTTGACCTTAGACACAGGTATAGACAATACATGGATAGCCCACGATATATTTACGTAGAAGCACAAAAACCCTTAAATGAGTCCAACCTAGCCACATCACAGAGAAAGATGCGCACGGAAGCCCAATGACAGTCAGGCTCGAATCCGTCTTGAGACGACGGGCCTCGTTCAAGGCCATCCTTTGTAGTGAGAACACAGGCCCGGGTACCCAAACACACGTGCTGATTGCAAGCTTATAGCCCAGTCGCAAGAATCCTGCAGTGGACATCAAGTCGTTGCCCAGGGGATCGTTCTCGAGATCCAGGGATGTTCCAAGTAGACCCAGATCCTCAGGGAGTTGCTTTCAGTGATTGAGCTCGGTATTTTGAAAGGCTTGTTGAATTCTGGACGACCTATCCCAAAACAACAATCCGAGGTTCTCGGCGGAAGCTCGTGCCGACAGAGTCACAACCGGAGAAAAGGTGCAGGAAGTCCAGGTCCTGGGAGGGCTGATTGCGATTCGATCTGCTAACTTTTAGTAGCATCATCTAGTATACGTACATGCAGAGACATCATGCACAGAAGCAGTCCTCAGATTGTAGGGCCTTTTCGTGAAAGGCCAGGAGCACCACACACATAATCAGTTGCAACGGAGCACCCCATCGCAACAACTCTGCTACGACCATGGCCACCCCCGTGGCCCCAGCGAGCTTGGATCTAACTGGTAACAGCCTCGGAGCCCTGCAGGGCACCAAAAGGAAACATCCCAAGACTTCCAAGCATGACTTGATGAGCTCCTTAAGGCAATAAAGTGCACCACACATGCAGAAAGCACTTTCATCCTTTGAAGGATGCCGGGCACTTGCAGCTGGTCTCGGGCACTATCGCAGAAGTCGAATTATCGACCAGAATTTGAACTGCAGAAGTTTGCATGTTGATTAAAGACGCACAGCCTGTAGCCGTAGCCTAAATGAACCGTCGTCGCTTCAGCTCGTTCACCGACAAGCCCTCGAGCCACGAAGCCCTCGCAGAGCTCTGGTTCCATTTTTCACAAGCTTCCTTCCACGAGAAGCCCCGCTCGCGCTTCTTTGCAATGTACCTCAAACGAGCTTCTTTATAGGATCCAGGCACATATGCACAATCCGCCGTCATCGTCCTCTTCATGCGCTGCATGGCCTCGGTTTCCTCGCCCTGTTCTTGGCTCGAGCTGTTCTCCTTTTTTTTCGAAGCTTGCTTATCCTTTTTCTTGGTCTTTTGGTCCTGCTGGGCCTTAGCCTTTGAAGCCTTGGATTTAGCGGGAGCTTTGGCCTTCTTCTTTTTCGTTTTTTTCCTCTTCTTCTCATCCTCTTCAGGCTCCTCGTCGGTAGCTTCACCTGAATCATCTTTTGCCCACCTTGATTGCTGAACACAGTTCAAAAAAAAGCAGGGGCAAGACCAAATCGATCAAATCCAAAATGCACCACGCCACTGTGCACTGGGTAGGAACGGCTTAACGGGCTCCGATTTCGATGCAAGCAGGCTTTCAAGGCTTTCCATAACCTGCAATGCATACACTTGGCAGTCTCACAGCACAACAAGCATCTCCGCTGAAACCAGTACAGGGCAAGAAGCCTTCTCGGGAAGCAACTTTCCCTCGATCTCGGAGTGAACACCCTTCTTGGGCTTCTTGTTCTTCGATGCTTCCTTGGGTTCTGCAGCGGGCTTCGCGGTTGAATCACAATCCTGCTTCAACTTCCTGCTTTGTGCTTGCAGCCTGGCCAAAGCCATCCTCGGATATAGCATTGTACGTATTCAAGCTGACGATAGATTGCTGAGTGCAGGGTGCGAGCAGCACTATTCCGCGACAAGGCTCTGCATCTCACCGCTCAAAGCCGGGATATGGAGAGGCGGGGTCACCGCAGAGCTGTTGGAACTCCCAACCTTGCAGGCTTCAAGCACATGTGACATTTCATGCAAGTGGCGATACAAGGGAATCCCCAAATGCTTCAAGTTGCAGCTGATCCCTCGTCGTCATGCTCAGCCAGAATAGATATAGCAACATCACCATCATCATCTGAT